CTAGAGACCATTCCCAAGGCTTCTCCTTATGTACAGGAAACAGACCACATCCCAAAGACAGCTACTCAGCTGCTTGTGGTAGATCCCACCATGGAGCTGATTGCCAGTCTCATCATGGGGAATAACTACCACCAGCGGCCCAGCCACTCAACCAGGCCCAGCCAGCTGACACACAAACATAACCACCACACCCTTGAATGAAGAGTAGCCAAAGCAAATGGAAAAAATGACAAGATAAAAGAGCTGAACAGAAGATTTCAAAGAACAGGTCAAAAAGACAAAGCCAGTTATAGTAATTATAGTAATGAAATGTGCAAAGACCTGAAGTTAGAAAAACAAAAGAGAAGAACATGCTCAGCATTTCTCAAGCTGAAAGAACTGAAGAAAAAATTCAAGCCTCAAGTTGCAATATTGAAAGATTCTATGGACAAAATATTGAATGATGTAGGAAACATCAAAAGAAGATGGAGGGAATACACAGTCACTTTACCAAAAAGAATTGGTCAATGTTCATCCATTCAGTAGGTGGCATATGATCAAGAACCAATGGTATTGAAGGAAAAAGTCGAAGCTGCATTGAAAGAAGTGGCAAAAAACAAGCCTCCAGGAATTGATGGAATACCCATTGAGATGTTTCAACAAACGAATGCCACTCTAGAGGCAGTCACTCGGCTATGCCAAGAGATTTGGGAGACTGCTACCTGGCCAATGACTGGAAGAGATCCATATTTGTACCCATTGCAAAGAAAGGTGGTCCCACAGAATGTGGAAATTATCAAACAATATAATTAATATTGCATGCAAGTAAAATCTTAATGAAGATAATTCAAAAAAGGTTGCATTAGTATATTGACAGAAAACTTCAGAGGTGCAGGCTGGATTCAGAAGAGGACGTGGAATAAGGGATATCATTGCTGATATAAGATGGATCTCGGCTCAAAGTGAAAAATACCAGAAAGACGTTTACTTGTGTTTTATTGACTATGCAAAAGCATTTGATTATGTGGATAATAACAAATTATGGGTTATATTGAGAAGAATGGGAATTCCAAAACACTTCATTGTACTCATAAGGAACCTGTACAGAGACCAGGAGGCTGTCATTTGAACAGAACAAGGGGATACTGCATGATTTAAAATCAAGAAGGGAGTATGTCAGGGTTGTATCCTTTCACCATACTTATTCAATCTATATGCTGAGTAAATAATCTGAGAAGCTGGTATATGAAGAAGAACATGGCATCAGGATTGAAGGAAGAATCATTAACAACCTGCGATACACTGACAACACAACTTTGTTTGCTGAAAGTGAGGATGACTTGAAGTACTTACTGATGAAGATTGAAGAATAAGTCTGCAGTATGGATTACATGTTAATATATAAAAAAATAAAATCCTCACAACTGGACCTACAAGCAGCATCATGATAAATGGAGAAAAGACTGAAATTGTCAAAGACTTCATGTTGCTTGATTCTACAACCGACACCAATGGAAGCAGCAGTCAGGACATCAGACAATCTATGTTGTTATGTTGTTATGTGCTGTCCAGTCAGACCCAACTCAGAGCAACCCCTTCTTGGGTTTCCGAGGAGGTATCACTACGGAAGTAGATTGCCCAACCTTCCTTCCGAAGAGTGGCTGGTGGGTTTGAACTGGCAGGCTTCTGGTTAGCAGTCAAGTGTCTTAGGCACTATGCTACCAGAGCTACTCCTCGGACAATGTATAGCACTGGGCAAATCAGCTACAAAGGACCTCTTTCAAGTGCTGAAGAGCAAAGATGTTTCCTGGAGGACTAAGGTGTGCCTGACACAAGCCATGGTATTTTCAATTACCTCATATGCATACGAGAGCTGGACAATGAATAAGGAAGGCCAAAGAAGAATCGATGCTTTTCAGTTGCGGTGCTGGCAAAGAACGCTGAAAGTGCCATGGACTGCTAAAAGAACTAACAAATCTGTCCTGGAAGAAGTGCTGCTGGAATGTTCCTTGGAAGCGAGAATGGCCAGACTTCTCACCTACTTTGGTCATGTTATCAGAAGGGACCATTCCCTGGAAAAGGATGTCATGCTTGGTAAGGTGGAGGGTCAATGAAAAAGGGGAAAGCCCTCAATGAAATGGATTGACACAGTGGCTGGGGCAATGGGCTCACGTATAGCAAAGATCGTGGAGCTGTCATGGAACCGGGTGGTGTTTCATTCTGCTGTGCATAGGGTTGCTATGAGTCAGAAATGACTCGTCGGCACCTAATAACATTAATATAATTATGTCCTCTGGGTTCATCTATGTTATAAGGTATTTCACAGATTTATCGTTATTCTTTAATATTATGTAGTATACCACCGTGCATATGTAATACAGTTTGTTTATCCATTCACCCATTGATGGGCACTTAGGTGTTTCCATCTTTTTGCTGTTGTGAATAATGCTGCAATGAACATGCTGTTGTTAGGAGGTGTTGAGTTGGCTCCAGCTCATAGGGACCCTGTGTACAACAGAATGAAACACTGCCCTGTCCTGCGCATCCTCGCAGTCCCTGCTGCGCTTCAGCCCATCACTGCAGCCGCTGTGTCAATGCATCTTGTGGAGGGTCCTCCCCTTTTACACTGATCCTCTACTTTGCCAAAAAAAAAAATTCATTGCTGTTGAGTCAATTAGACTCATAGCGATCCCTCCTTGGCTTTCCAAGGTAGTATCTCTACGGAAGTGGTTGCCCAATCTTCCTTTCAAGGCGTGGCTGATGGGTACAAGGTCACGTCTCTGAGGGTGGTGTGGAGGTAGGGTTAAAAATATTTACCTTCCACATTGGTTATTAATGAACCAAGATGCGGTAAGTGGCATTCTGGTTTGGATCTGTGGTTTTGAATTCATTAAACTAAGGAAGCGCTTTCTCTTCCAAAACCATCTTATTTAATTCTATGCTTTCACAGGGAAGAAATAATTCATAAAATTTATAAGATTGGATTAAAACAGATTTTATTGATGTATTTGTTAGTAGTTAGCTGTGACCAGTGGATACTCATTGAAAATTCTTAACTAAATATGTTAGTCTGAAAATGTAATTTTAAGGACATTAATTAATTGACTGTACTAGTATCAGGCTCTTTGTGTAGATATATTTCATGCCCTAAGAAGGTTTATAGTCTGGGAGACAAAAGCAGAATGCAATAATGACATCATAATTATCAGAGGTATGCCAAAAATGTCATCAAGATGCCATGTGAATACCGGGGATAAAGTCAGAGAGAGATAAGAATAAATATATTTGAACTAAGATCTCTTAAATTACTTCTATGTCATATGCCAGAGGGCCTTCCGTGGAAAATCCTAGGTAGAAGGACACTTTTTCTATGTTCCCACCACTTCTGAGTAGACCTGAATAAACAGATGTCACTGGTATTTTAATTTTTTCCCTTACTCCATATTCTATAAGGATTAGCTTGCCATGAGCCTGACCAGTTAGACGTCGCAGGAGGTGTTTGACTTCTTTTTTTTTCCACACATCACCGCTCTGCCACAGGGAATTTGTGTTTTGTTCTTTACTGAAGTACTGTTCTATTTCAGCCTTGTGAACAATACTGTGGAGACCCTTGCTCTTCCCCAGATAGAAAAATGTACTGGCCTGCCTGGATCGGCACATGGGCCTGTACTGTCGCCCGAAGGATCTATTTAAAGATGAAACATACTTTTCCATTAGTTTGGAATCTGAATCTAGCTCCTGATTTTCTGGCCAGAACAGGAGGCAGGCTAAGAAATAAGGGTCTGGATATTGATGAGTTGGTTCTACTAATTGCAAGACTTCCCGGAGCTGTTTTTTCAGCACGTTAAATGGTTGAATAGACTTGGAGTTGGGTTTCAGACAGCTGAGAATAATGTTTGCCAAGATGAAGTTTTGTTTCTCCTTTATCAGCCGTTTATTTGGGTTTTGTTGCAATAGGAAGCTGTATGTGTTCACTATACTTTCCATTATGTTTGCAGCATCTTTGTGCTTTGGGGTAAGGTATTCCAGGAGTCCCGAAAATCTGTCTGCTCTCAAAGCTTCTAGCTTTTTCCTGCAGTTCTCCTCTTGGAGTAACTCTTGGCTTTGTAATGGATCCAAATCCAAATCGCAGAAAAGTTCCGTGTATTTCCTGAAGTAACGGCTGACTTTCTTGCTTAATATGATTTCCACAATTTCTTTTAGGGTATTCCTTGTTTTCAGAAGAATCATATAATCAACAAAGAAGTCAAAACACCTTTTCAAATCTAATTTTAAATTTTGTAGGTAGGATGTGAAATTTCTAAGAGTCAAATGATATTCATCTTTTGGATCAGCAGGAATAGCTCCTATTCCTGATAAAAATTGTACCATAGGTTTTTTGGCTAGTTCATTTTCTTTGAGGAAAAAGGGAATGAGCTGAAGAATCTCGACAGTATAAAATCCAACTTCTATTTCACCCAAGAAACCAGCTGTATTATACATGTCATATTTTCTTTGGGACTTTTGTAGTGACCAGGCCTCTGTTTCGTAGTCTTTGCTATCGGTTTGCTGTTGGGACTCTTTGAAAGCTCTTGAGGCTTTTTCAGCTGTTTCTAGTAAATGTGTTAGATCACTAACAGTAATGTTCCTACAGGTTTTGTTTTTATCCAGCCACCATTTTATTTTACTTTTGTAGACTTGACCAAGTGTATCTGAGATATAGGAATTTTTAGGTGCTATCTTTTTGGCTTGATTTGCCCAATGTAGAGCAGAGTTAAAGTTCTTCTCTTTAATATAGAAATATCTTGCTAAGGCTTGGCAAATAAATGCATTTTGTGGGAATCGGATACTTCCTTCCTTCAAGACCTTTTCAATTTTTCTATTTGGTAAAGCTTCAATTAATGGGGAAAACAAAGTGTCCGTTTCATCACCACACTCCTTGCGCTGCCTTGTAAGCAGAAGTGTTTGTACATCATGGAGAAATTTGTCTCTTCCTATTCCAGACTTGTAGAATAAATTCTCACGTAATATCTCCAATGCAATTTGACCTTTATCCAAGTGGTAGCTTTCTTCCAGTTCTTTCAGACAGTAAATGGCCACCAGAGGGTGAATGATGCGCACACCCGTGTATCTTCCATAGTCTGCAACTTCTGTTTTTATGAGAAGTGTAGAACAGGTTCCCATCTTGTCTTCCAGGGTTTCAGGTTCCCAGGGTGTCCTGGTAAATGTGATTCCCAAAAACATTTCACACTGTGACACTGAAATGGTAGAATCAGTAACATAAGAGTTAAGTAGAGCCAGGAAAGAAATGAGTTGTGTTTCCTTGCTGCCAACAGTCTGTCCTTTCAGGATGTTCCTGACCACATTTACTATGTACATTTCATCAAAATTGCTTTTCATGATCATGAAGGAATAAAAGTTTTCACAATTCATGTGCTGCTTTTCAATTTCTTCCAGTTTGGCCTCAAAAGCTCTCTGTTCCTTGGGAGAAAGTTGATATTTTAGTGCCACGCTGTCTGCTAATTTTGCACTTTCATCAGGATTCTGGGACCTCATGCAGTTTAAAATAATTACCAATGTTTTTTCATATCGCAAAGCCTTCTCCGCTAAACTGGAATGGATGGCATTCTGTAGAACGTAGATGTTTTCTAGTTCTTCAAAGTCATCCACCAGGAGAAGTACAGGAATATATTCCTGATGGCTGCTTGCTTTGTATGTGATCAAATTGGTCACTTGTTCTCCAATTTCTGTAAAATCAGTTGCTTTATTTTTTAACACAGCACATCTGAAGTTTTTCTTTAAGTCCCAGAGAACATGCATAGCCAATGTAGTCCCTCCACAGCCTGGATGATGATAAAGATTGATGATTTTTGCAAATACTGCTTTAGGAGACTCTGCACAGCACTGGATCAGATCTTTAAGGTTTTCATAACGGTCTCTTTTGACAAAAGCTGAAGAATAATTTTCAGAAGAAAAATAGAAGTTCCACCAAGATACTTTGCCACCTCGATAAAAATGTTCTTCTTTTGATTTCCTAAATTCTAGGAATTTAGATTCATCTTTCTCTATATCTGTATCCCTACACTCATTTTCACAGAGGATTTCCAGGGCAGTAAAGATATCCTCTTCCTTTTTCTCTAGGATAACAGAAGAAGATCCTTGGGAGGGCAGAAACCTTCTTGATGACTGAATCACTGATTTTAGTTTCAGAATAGTACTGTTTATCTGTTCTAAATTTAAAGTGGAAATACTGTGGTCTGTTAATTCATCTGCTATCGTCAATCTTGTTCGCAGTAGATCTTTCCATCGCTGATAAATCTGTGAGTTTATACAGACACACAATATGTTTTCCATTCCTTTGAGAGCTTGGTAGAAAGCACAGAAAGTTTCAATGAGTGGATCTCCTGGGCTTTCCACTGAAGAGAATAAGAGAAACACAACCAAGAATTTCCCTCTTGTCATTATATTTTCATCTGTAAGAAGTAAAATCAGTTTCCTGACTTCAGAAGCTCTTTCTCTCTGCCATAAATGTGGTTCTAGAGGTGTGTATGTCTCATCATTCAGGTCTGATCTGCCATTGCAGAAGATCCAGCTGGGTTGCTCATAAAGATTCAGAGTAGAGATCATCTCTCTAATAGTAGTTGTCTTTTGTTCATACTGACTTGGAAAGTGAAGGTTTGCTACTCGACTTTCTTTGTAAGCTTTGACCACCCCATGGGTCACAGATTCAGGATCAAACTCCAACACAGCAAACCATTTAATTTCTTTTAGAAAATCTAAGTGCTTTGTTTGGTTTGGATGGCATTTGTTTGTTACAAGAATATACCAGTCATAGTATGAGTTATCCAGTGAGTCTCGGCTTCCTATGAGAAGTTTGACTAGTTTTAGTCCTTCCCTCTCCTTCTTGTTTCCCTGCACTCCATATTCTTCTTCTGCCTCTCTCCTAGATGCCACCAGCGAATCTAAATCTAGTAAAAATGCTTTGAAATCTGCATCCTTTTGCCTGACATTAGAGAGGATATCCTTGGTAGTAGCCCCTTTTCTCACAAATAGTGAATATTCTTTGTCTTGTCTCCATACGCTATCTTTACAGATTTGCATTTTAATATAGAAATACTTCTTTTTACATACAGAATGTCTTGGAATAACATCTACTTCAATGACAAATCTATCAGATAGTGTACTGTTCTGCTGTAGAACTTGCACAAACCGTGGCTCCCGAATACACTTCCTGGCTTCCTTGATATCGCTTTCTTCAAAATACTGTTTGATAATTTTATTGAAGTGGTCAATGAAGCCATCCTTACTGGTGACTTTCAGACCAACAATTTCTCCATGGGGTTTGTCTTTGACTCCAAAATGGATAGTGCCATTTGTACGTGAGTTCATACAAGCTGATGCAAATCGGAAGGCTTCATTGCTAAATTTCATATGAATGTCCTTTTCTGTGGCTGTTTCTGTATTTGTGAGGAGTTTGAACTCATGTATTGGGTCAATGAGATTGAGTGGTCCTGTTTCAGGTTGTAGAATATAGTGCTCTATATAACGTTGGCTGTCGTGGAACTGATCAAAAGGACATGGCATACAAGTCAGCTGTTCAATTTTTCCCTTATTCTTTTTTCTGCCTTCAGTGACTGCTGCTTCATTTGTTGCATTTTCTTTCTTGACAATAGATTCTTGTTCTTTGGCATCTCTGATGTTTGTGAGATCATCATTAATATCGGACGATACCGATTTTTCCTTTTCTGTCTGTTGTGGCTTATCTTGGTACCTTTTTTTAGAACTTTTTGGGTGATCTAATTGCCCAGAATCCTCATTGTGACTTTCAGGGGAACTATTATTCAATTTGTTATACCCACGTTTTATCAGAAGTGCTGGACCCCGTGGTAATCCCATATCTCTAAGGTCTTTCTCAGTTAATTCCTTGAGGACTAATCCTGTCACTTCTTCACTGAGCAGAATTTGTCCATATTTCTCATCAATTTTAAGGTCTTCAGTTACCCATTTTTTCACATGTTCTTTGGTCCAGTCTTGGGTCATTTCAGGTAGAGTTTCTTGTTGACTCATATCAGAACTGTAACTTTTTTCCTTGGGGAAAAGTAATACAAGAAGTAGTTTAGTATTATATTTTGTCATTGAAATCACAGAGTTAATTATATAACTCATACACACACAAACACACGAATATATACATATACATTAAAACTTGTGAAAGCTAGAACCTATGTAAGGCAGAACCTGTCAGAGGAGGAAAACTTGAATATTTTCCTCTAAATAGAGAGTAATAGAAAAATGGTGACCGCACCCTGCCAATGGCAGAAAACTGGCAAGACCCAGAAAAACAAGGCAATCTTTTCAAGTTCTGGTACTCACAGTTTTCACTGTATATGATCTCTTTTAGATATAATGATACACATAATCTCTTTATACATATTTAAAACAAAATAAAACCCAATGCCGTCAAGTTAATTCTGAATCATAATGACCCTATAGGACAGAGTAGAACTGCCTCATAGAGTTTCCAAGGCTGTAATCTTTATGGAAGCAGACTTATATAATCTTACATAAATAAGAGGAGATTAAATATACACACATATGTTGTTGTTGTTGTTATGTGCCGTCGAGTCGGCCCCGACGCATAGCGACCCCTCCTTGGGTTTCCGAGGCAGTATCACTACGGAAGTAGGATTGCCCAACCTTCCTTCCGAGGAGTGGCTGGTGGGTTTGAACCGCCAGCCGTCTGGTTAGCAGGCAAGTGTTTTAGCCACTATGCTACCAGAGCTCCTATACACACATATATGTAATATTTTTTAAATGATAAAGAGAAAAATATAAACATTTCAAGAGTCATAAATTTTAAAATGAAAAATTTAAAGGACTTCATTTTTAAATAGTTAATGCATAACCACGCAGAAAATCTAGTCAAACCTCAGCTTGGAGCCCCATGCCTGGCCAATAGAAGAAATCCAATGCTGACAGTTTTCTGGTCTGCTCTTGCATACTCTATGCCAGAATGATATACCCTGTCCATGTACATGGAACCAATGGGAATAGCAGCTTCCATTTGCCTCAATAAAATTTGTCCTGTTTGCCTTAATGTTCTTAATCTTCGTAGTCTCTTCAAATTCCAGTCTGTGAGACACAACTAGCTCTGAGCTGATTATCAGGACAAGACTGTGAACAACTGGCACAATGAACATTATAAATATATTTCAGATGAACAAGTGGTCTTAGAAATCTCTAAGAATTGGCACACATATTGTAACCAGAAGTAAGTATTATATTGCCTTAAATTGTGTTAGTCATTCATTCAACACATATTTATTGAGCACCTATTATGTACCAGGGATTATGCTCAAGAAAAACAGTGGTAAACCAGAACATGAAGTTCTTTCCTGGTGCTTACAGATCACTGGGAGAGATAAAATAAAATAAAACAAAACATGCACACATATACACCCCAAAAAGTTTGTAATGCCAGATTGTAATAAGTGCTTTGTGGTACAGGTATTGTGCAAGCTGAAGGAAGAGATGTAAGACTGACACATATAGGGAGACGTGGAGTATCCCTAGAAGGAAAGTGGGGACATTGGGTAGATGAGTTAAAGGGGTGTGTCTGTGTGTGTGTGCTGAAATAGATGGGAGGTGAGTGGAAGGGGAAAGTGTGGAGAACAGAGTTAGGGAATAAGGAAGACTCTACCTAGTAGACTTTCCAAAGGCCTGTGTAGTAGGTCTAATATATAAGTGTGGTGGCACTCCAGCAGGGGACAGCACATTAATGAGACTCCCCACCAGCCACTCCTCAGAAGGAAAACTGGTCAATCTACTTTTGTAGTGATACCACCTTGGAAACCAAAGGAGGGGTTACTATGAGCTGGATCTGACTCGACAGCAGTAAACAACAACAACAACCATTAATAAACATATTCTTAATGAAAAGGATTTTCTTGAGTCCTTTTTTTTTTGAAAAGGATTTTTTTGATGTCATTTGAGAAGAGGCTAAATAATAAAAAAAAATTACTAGCATATTATTTTAAACCTTATTCTTAAAATATTTCAGACTTTGTGAATTTCAAGAATACTTAATTTTTATGTATTTTGATACATTTTGATCCCTTTCTGTAGGCATCTGAAGGAAAGAGGATACTCATGTCTGTAGAAGCTATTCCTATCATAATCAGTGGTGACTTAGTAAACACATAATGGTTCCTCCCTCCAATACATTGCTCTTGACCTCCACCTATCTCTACTCCCATGGTCACACCCTTGAAGTCATCATTACCAATAGCTATCAGCTCAGTTTCAAATACCTCACTCTCACTACCACCCCCTGTCCCTCAGTCTCATTGCCTTTAGTACTCAGACTCTAATATTTCTTTAACATTGAGACCTTCAATCCATCCACCTTATTACTTTCTCACTTTTCCCTACACCCCTCATGTTCCCTGGTGACCCAATGGTGAAGCGCTCAGCTGCTAACCAGGAGGTCATTGGTTCAAACCCACCAGCTGCTCCTTGGGAGAAGAATGTGGCAGTCTGCTTTCATAAAGATTTACAGCCTTGGAAACCTTATGGGTCAGGTCTACTCTGTCCTATAAGTTGCTATGAGTCAGTATTGACTCAGCAGCAATGGGTTTTGTTTTGTTCTCATGTTCTCATTTTTCCCCTTCACTGGCTTAACTTTTTTTTCTTTTCTTTTGTCACTGGTTCTAATCACTTGCTTTCTCTCTTTGTACCACTTTACACTTTAATGTTCTTCAGTGTTTTGAGGCTATAAAGCCCTTTCTTGGACATTATCTGACTGAATTCACATCAGTTAAGGATGCCTTTTAGAAAAAAAAGAAAAAAAAAACCTTTTACGTTTAGCAAGAGTTACATAGTGTAAGTAAAGGGAGGACAAGTTGTGATCAGAAAAATTATGTCACGATTAAATTATATTTTCTCTCAGCCAGCCTCAGATTTCCTTTCATTTACCACCAGCAATTGCTGTGAAGTTGATTTCAACTTATGGCAACCCCACATGTGTCAGAGTAGAATTGTGCTCCCTGGGGCTTTCAATGGCCACATTTTTTGGAAGTAGATCACCAGACATTTCTTCCGAGGCATCTCTGGGTGGGCTTTCAGTTAGCAGCTGAGAGTATTAACCATTTTCACCATCCAGGTACTCCCATAGTATAAGGGAATTGAAGCGGAACCAGTGTTGTCTTGGTTTTGGTTGTTTGTGTTTGTTCTTCTTCTTCAAAAGAAATGGACGTGAAGCCTCTATACATAAAATGGGCAAAGGTGTAGCTGCTTTAGCTGGATTTGGGGAGAAGACCTTTCTACCTCCCTTTCATTCTGTTCTTGGAAAATGTTGAATGTCAGAGTTCTCCTTATTAGTATTTAATTTTAGGATCCATCCTCTAAGGACTTCTATTTTTTCTCTTTGTGTGCTGAGTACGAAGGATCAAAAGATCAGAGCCCAAGGCAAGCACTGGTGCTCCCCAACCTCCAGGCTCCTGGGCCTCCAGTAGTAGCCTTGGTATCCATGCCCTGAAGGAGATACTTGGAATGCTGGCTGGAGCCCATCAGGCCTACATCTTCTCTGATGCTCCAGGGAACTGAAAACAAGCCAGTTAGTTTCATTTTCTTGAGTATCTTTTATGGGTTTTCTCCCAGAGTTTTGGTATAATCCAATTGTGAGGGAAAGTCTTAAATAAAACAATGATGAAACTTTGGTGAATTTTATCTTTAAATGTAAACTTTGATATAATTAAGTTATAAAAGATAGAATTTTGCACAAATGCACATAGGTACAGTTTTTTGGACAGTTTGGTATGCTTGAATGCCTGGTTTTCTGATCTACGTTTTACTTAGATCTTCTGCCCCCACGCCCTGAGTCTGCCACCACCAGGAAACACTGTTTTCTCCCTGTGCTTTCTGGAAGGTTTGTTTTTCAAAGAACCGCACAGTCCACAAAAGTTACATCTAGTGATATGGGTACGAAAGTAGTGACATTTCTCATTCCTTTTAGAATTGTTTCATAAAAAGTAGCTGTGTACACTTGAAAGTATATTCATTTTTAAAGATCTACTTCAGGTTTTAAAATTAATTTCTAAAGATAAATTTGAATGAAAGTTGATGAAACCAATGCCTTTAATGATTTGGAACTTACCAGCACTTTTCAGAAAACTTCCACTTTTTATATCAGAAATGTAAAATAGGTCATTGTGAAGCTCTTTGATTGCAAACACTTGGGTTAGTTCCTTCTTCTTGAGAATTTGTGAGAGCCATCCACTGAAAGCAGCAATGGAGAAGCAGAGATGTAGGCAGAATTGTCTTGATCTTTTTCAGTTTTGCCTGAGGATATATTTGTTGAGATTATATTACATCTAAAGAATGGCATTACAACAAATTAAAACGCTATTGTTTGGACGGTTGCTCAGGAACCACTCATCAGACAGATTTCTCCCCTCACTTCCTGCTTTGAAAATTTTCAAACAGGTAGAGAATTTAAAATACACTTACTTCTCACTTATCAAATATCTCATTTTCTGACATTTCTCATTCTTAATAATAGTAAAAAATGTGCTCTCTGACTATTTTCCACATTAAAGATGTCCATCTGGCAGTAACAAATGCTGTGATGTGAGGCAAGTGTAATGCTGACTATGATGGTTAAGGTTATGTGTCAACTTGCCAGGGCCATGATTCTCGGCCATTTGACATTTGTATAATGGTGTGATCTGGCAGTTTTGTGATGATGTAATTTCACAATTATGTAATGATTAATTTGGCAGCTATGTAATGAATGATGTAGTCCTCTTCCATTTTGTGATCTGATGTGGTTATCCTCATTTTCACATAATGCTGATTTTTGCACAATGACCTGGTCTTTGGAACCTAACCATGTTGATAAATGAGTAGGTAATAGTGTAAGGAACAGCCTCATATCCTTTACCTGGATGGTATCTTACGATATTTATCTATCCATCTATATATCTATCTATCTAATTTATATACATACTTTCAATAAAATAATTGGACATTCAAAAATATATTGTATGCACAATTTCTCTTTCCCTTCTCCCACATTCCATA